GGTGACTCTGCAACGCTGTGTCTTGGCTGCTGGCACAGAGGTACGTGGCGGAGTCTTCTGGCTGCAGGGCGTCCAGGTGAAGGTACAAGTGAGAGTTATCAGGACATTCGGGTGAGAAGCGACTTGGAACAGTCATGTTTTCTCTGAGTGCCTGATAGTAGTAGTAAAACATGAGCTCCGGTGGCTTCTTAGCACTCAGTTTATACCAGTACATAGCATTGTGTCCCAGATTTTGGTGACACTTCAAAGACTTCTTATCTGTCATTCCCATGACCAGGTGTCTTGGCGTCTGGGTAACTCCAGTGTCCGTGGGGACTGTGGGTGGAAAGAAACAAAATTCAGGCAGAGCCCATGAAGAAGGGGGTTGGGGCAGCCACAAGGAAAAGGCCTGGAGTTCGAGGACAGCCACTTTGAACCCCAGACTCACCTGCTCCCAGGAGACAGAGGACCACACAGCACAGCAGCCTGCAGCCCATGGTAGCGTCAGGACAAGATGGTGTCAGGGTCCTGGGCTGCTCTGGGCAAGGAGACTGAGATCTGTTCTCTTTGGCCCTGGTTGGTGGATTTCTTGTGATGTCATCTCTCCTGACAATGTCCCCAGGCCCAGGGGATGCTTCTTCCTCACCCTTTTATAGCCTTCATGGGTCCTGAGAGAAGGTGGATTTGAATGGACGGGGCAGGGGTGAATGAGCTGGGCAGGAAGAGCAGAGCAGGCTTTTTACTCCTCAAGACATTCCTGTGACACTTGCCCATTTGCTCTTAGCTGCCCTCCTCATTACACAGATCCTCCCTCCGCCCCCTCTTCTAGGACCCCTTCTCAGCAACAGCCAGTCTCCCCAGGAGGGACCTGTCCCCCCTGCTCAGGCACACGGGACAGCAGCTCTCAACACGCTGCTGCCCTCAGCGTCTCAGCTCCAGGGAGCCCCTGGGTCAGTTTGTGGACAGAGGGAGGTGGGACAACCATGGATCCATTCTGGACCAACATCCGTCATTCAAAGTGCATGACCGTGAGGCCAAGCAGGGGCCAGGCTCTGGGGAGGGCACTGAGGAGAGCACAGAAGGGACCAGGTGCGAGTTGGGGTCCTTTCTGAGCCTAGAGCAAACATGGGCAGGATGCTGAAAGAGAACCACACAGGCATGTGATGCATGATTTCAAACTCACATCACTGCACTGAAGACATCTACAGCAAGTCTCCCAGCTGATGTAAGGGTGGCATCCAATGGGCCAGCTTCCCTCCTGGCCCAGCCCTGCACTCACTCCCTGCCCCTCCCCTACCCCAGCCCCAGAGGCCTCCCTGGAGCACAGCTCCTCCCTGTGGCCAGGGCAGCACATTCCCCAGACCTCAGGCCTCTCACCACCCAGCCTCAGCCTCCCAGATGCCCCACAGGCCACACACTGACAGCTGGGAGGGCTCTGGAAAGCCAGGGGAGAATGCAGAGGAAGGCAGCGTGGGAAACCACAAAGAGACTCAGAACAACTCCAGCTGTCCACAGTGCTGGGACCCTCCTCTTTTTACTAAACAATGAATGTCTATGTCTGGGTCGTAGAAAAGGGAAACACAGACAGTATCCAGCCCCTCTGGAGCCTGCGGGCAGCTGACTTGTCCAACTCATGCTCCCTGAGGGACAGCAGGGGCAGGCACAAAAGCATCAGCATGTTCAGCCACAGAATTCTATTTGAGTTGGGCAATTAAACATATCCACAAATAACCATGAGGAAAATTAAAATTTATCTCATATGAAGTTTAAGAATTACTACCTATACTTCATCCATGTATGTGATGCCGTAATTCCTCATCTATTTAATCAGCAGAACTGAGGTGAAATTACCTCCAAAGCCCTATCCATTTCTATGTCATTAAATGCCCACCCAGGCTCAAGGGTTTTACAGGAAACTTTCTCTAAGCTGTTGACACTTTTTGATCATTTAGTTATTGCAATATCGTGTATTTTCATAAAATATAATGTCATGCCAAAATAGGGTTTTTATCTTATAAAAATTAAAGATACAATTAAACACAAATTGAAATTATCTCTAATCCATAAATGATTGTTTTACCATCAATTAACTTATTGTTATATTCCATATTTATTACCACTTTGTAATGGCAATTGTAATTCAAGGTAAGGTTTGTGTTCAAAAGCTATATTATATATATTGTCTCACAACATCACCCACCATCTGCCTGTTGCCTGTATGAGGAGAGTTGGAAGACAACACGCAGTCAGAATCGGGAGAGAACCGTAGAGGCTTCGTTCCTGCAGGGAAGGAGTCTACACTGCACACGCCGCCCTCCACTCCCTTCTCTCATCCCTTCTTCTAGGTCACCTGTTGCTGTGGACTTCCATGCTTCCCCATATATTTTTCTGTTAAACAGGATGCACACTGATAATCTGAATTTCCTTTTAATCTTAGTGACATTTTCCTTCCCTTCTCCTTTATGCTTGTGCTCATCAAACATTTTTAGCAATATTGTGTTTCAATCACAATGCTGTGTGCAAGATGTACCAGTAGGTACAGCAGAGAAAGAAAAGAAATGCTTTCTTTCATGAGTTAAGATCTTCAGGGCATGGGACAGGGTCCTTTTTAGTTTGCGGAGTCCTAGTACTTGGATGACTCTTGTGAACCCCAGCTCTAGCTGATAAATGGAACTCTGGAAGACCTCTGCGTGGGTCAAATGTAGCAGGGCCCTGTTGGGAGCACAGGCGCCTGTACTGCAGGCGGGAACTCTGTCTGGGCTCTGTCCAACAGGGAAGGGAGAAGGAGCCTCAGGGCGCGGGGAGCACATTGCCCCACAGCTTCCTGGCTGAGCTGGGA